ACTACTACTACTACTACTATACTAGCCGCCCCCCCTCCAACCACTTGTCACTTAAACCATTGGGCGAGCAGGGAACGGTACAAAGGAAAGCGCACCTATGAGGCGTGGACACAAGGGTGGCGAAGCAGTTAGTGAATGCAAGAACACGGTCCCTCTAAGCCGCAGAAATTGTAGAATACGCAAGGAACAATCATCATGATCATCACCATCATCATCAACATCATCGACCGGGCGCAGAATGGCTGACTCGGGTACCCTAAGCGGAAGAATGGCAGAGAAATAACTGCTTGAGGCTGCCATGTTCATTATTATCCCCCTCCCAACCCCCACCCCCGAACCCCCCCATTCCCCCACCAGGCCCCAGCAAGAAAAGTGTTAAGGAGGGGTGGTTGGCGGGGGCTAACTACTCCTACTCCTACTGCCACTAGTACTACCACCACCAGCACGACTACTACGACTACTACGACTACTACTACACCACTACTATCATTGTTATTATTAGTAGTATCTTACTGGTAGTGTTCTTGTCATGATGATGGCGATGCTGACCAATATAAATAGGATATTCTACGAAGAGCTCTCAGCTCGCCAATTGGAGTCAGGGCGCAGAAGGATCCGGTTGGCTGCCTCCAAGACGGTCTGGTCGCCTTGGCCTGCAACCTGCAAGATAGCCTCCACGGCGCGGTCCCGCACGTGAGCACTCGTGTCCTCCGGCTTACCTAGAGTAGGCCGTTTAGAGAGGCTTTCAGTGTGTGTTCTCTCTATTTCTCTCTCTTTTTCCCCACATCTCCTCCAGGCATTGTAGGGCGGCCTCCACAGCGCCAGCGCTCCCCCGCACGGCGGCCAAGTCTTGCAAGGCCACGGCTCGGGCTGCTGCACTGCTGCTGCCCAAGTTGACACAGAGTTGTCGCAATGAGCACACTAGAAGCAGCTCGAGCTTGTCGCCGGCATCTGCAAAGCTGTAGGCATCTGCCAGTGCTGCCGATTGCAAGATCAACTCTTGACACTTGGGAGGTAAGCCCCAGTGTTCGTGAATCTTCTCTTTCACGTGGAAGGCCGTCTCCCCGTCACTCAATTCCAGCTCCAGTTCTTGGCCGCTGAGGTTTCGGATGGTGAGGTGACCCATGGCATCATAACAATCAGGACATGCAAGCTTGAGATCATGGATGTACATTTCTCATCATGACGGTTCTTCTGACCGACGCAGTCACATGCAGACACATCGCAACTCAGCCAGCAGCGCCTGTACCCTGTCGGTGTGGTAGCATCCTCGGCTTCTTCCCCACTCTGCGCAGCTTCCTCTCCTCGGAGTCAGAGGCCGACACTGCTCATCCTCCAAGAGGACCTCATTGGCCTTGGCTGCTCCAGGGTCTTCTTCAGCATGTCCGAGGAATAACCGGTATGTTTCGATCTTTCGCTTCTCCGATTCCGTTATTATGCTGGCATGCTGGATACTCTTGCAGACAAACGGAGCTCCTGTCAGCTTTTCTTCCGGCAAGCGGGGGCCTCAGCCTCGAGCCAGCTGCCTGTCGAAGGATGAAAATTGCCTTCTGGGCCGAAAATCGGGTGGAAATCTGCGGTGGTGGTTCAAGGCTTCTTCTGTGGCTACTGACGCCTGGGTGCGAACCACCATGGCTCCGCGGGCATGTCAAACCCTGCTGACGCCACCCAACGAAAATTTGCTAAATACACTAAGACTTTTAGAAAGTTCCGACCATCCCGGCAATCCGGTGGCGGTTTCTGACTTCACGGCCCAAGGCTGGGCCTCCAGCTTTAAGCCTTTTTCCGGCACTTCAGCAGTATGTACACAAAACACATCAGCGTGTCGGCGAGGGTCATGCCCTCTTGAGCTGTTTTCCAACCCTGCTCTCGAAACTCCTCGAGAAGCTAATTACTGAACGCTCTCACGTGCACTGGGTGAGGGGTCCTTCCCCGCAGCACCCTATGCGAAGGACACCTCAGACTACAAGGGCTTGGGCCTAAGACCTTGTGAGTGTAGAGCGTAGAGAGAGAATCATTCTAGTATGTATTATAGCATACACTAATATTTTCTAGTACCTTATCGTATATATTACAGTAGATTAAAAACCCCCCGCCAGGCTGGAGAAGAGTTGAGAGACACACCGGGGAAGTCCAAGGAGCTTGGAAGAGGCCGATGCAACCTGTAGAACCTTACATTCTCACAACATCTGAGTCATGCGAGTCTGGAGTTTGCACATATAACAGTAAAATCTCATCACGAGTTAAGAACTTTGCTCGTTGAGCATAGGGACCTAGGTAACGCCGCCGCCGTGGGATCTCGGCCTCCTTTTCGGCAGAGGCCGCGTCGGCATTGCGCGTGCAGACCAGGCGCATGGTCTGGGCTTCCACAGGCGGAACCAGTGCGAACTCCTGCCTCAGCCCACGAGCCGCAGAAGTGCCAAGAGTGGCCAGAAAAGCAGGAAGCCAAGCCACAGATCCGCTCGATCCAGCCTCAGAGGCTCCACAGGCTCTAGGCGAAAAAAGCACAGCGGCACGAAGCACGAGAGGGCTCGCAGCTCAGCCAAGCTCAATCGGGCGGCGTCTGCAAGGGCACCGGCGAAGCACGTTCCCAGCTTTCGGGATCTTCGCTGCTTCCGCCCGCAAGGAGGTGGAAGTCACGCCTTGTTTTCTTTCATGTCCAAGCATCCGCCTATTCAAGACCAAGCCGCCAAGCCCGGACCAGGAGCTCTTCTACCTTCTGTGCCGGCCCAGCAACACTGACAAAGGTCCATGTGGCAGAGGTGGGATCTTCATTGCGACGAAGCTTATGCGTCTGACTGCATCGAAGGAGAAGTCAAGGTATTCTTGACCCACTCCTCCTTTTCAGGGCATCTGTATACATACATATACCAAAAAAAAGCTCTGGTATATTGTAGTAGATTCTAGTACATTGTATGTTATATATATATATATACAGACAGCGAAAGAGTCTGTTCTAATGCTATTTCGCGGGCCTGGGCAGCTGCCGGGTTCAGAAATCCACCATTCGTCCTCGTGCTCGTTCAAGACCTGGCAAAGGAAGGCCTGCGCCTTTTTTTGTTCGCATCTCTTTGAACGTTTTTTTTAGGGTTTAGATTTTTTTTAAAGCCTTTTTCCACCTCGCAACAGGTCACTAGGTAGAGAGCCTCGATGAGGCAGGCCGACATCCATCGCTTCGTTATCAGAAAAAGCCTCTCAGACTGGACGCGTAATATCTTCACCCTCCTGACGAAGTCTCAGCCCCCTGTTCATCTCCAGAACCACATGGCACAGCCTCCTCACTGATCACTCCCGCACTCTCAATCCTGCACGTCTCCAACATCGCATCCAACAAGGTTGCAGGTAATTCATCTCGAGCAGGAGCCCCCAAAAGTTGCCCGTGACAAAGTGCCCGATCCTCCCTTGCACCACGACCTTCCGGAGAGCCCTTGTAGTCATTCTTGTCCAGCAGCATAATCTTTTGTGCTTCCATAAATTCCAGTGTGTTCCGGCCATATGCTTGTACAACGGAATTGTTGGAAAGCGCCCGATTCCCACTGTGAGAACAAGTCCTGAAAAGCCTGGAACTCCATGGGCACCACACCATCGGATGCAGGAATGGCATCAAGGTGCTCAGGGCATGTCGCGGACCCCGGGCCATCAGCAGTAAGGCTGGCCCCCACCGGAACGGTCGAGGCCTGACTCGTACTTGACGAAGGCACCTCCTGGGGAACGAGATCACCACCTGCTGCGCTCCACCAAAGAGGAAGGGCACTTTCAATGTTCTTTCCACCCCCGCAAATCCAGGTGCCGGGCCCACCGAAATTTCCATATACGTCCGCTTTCGCCTGTGATTTCGGTCCTTGGTTCATCTCATCGTAGATGGCCCAATCATCCCAGGCTTGACAATCCCTGGACTTCTGCACCCTGACACCTTCTTCCAACATAGCTTGCATCTGCTCGAGATACTTCTCCTCCTCGTTCTCGAACGCCGCTTGGGCCTCCGCATCGGCCTCGTCATCCCTCCGGGTGATCACCTGCTCCTCGGCCATCTCATTGATCTCAACCGGCTCCAAGTCAAGGCTCGACGAGGCGAACGTTTCGTGACTCATGGCAACACCCGCAGGACAGTCGTCATTCAACAGGGGTTCCAACACACGCCACCAATGCCAGGACCATTCCGCAACCTGCTCATCTAAGGATGGAACCCATCTGCCATTACTCCCGTCCCAGCTTCTTCGATAGCTATGCATGGGGCTTCGACTTGGCCTGCCGATTGTTGGTCAACATGAACCCTGGATCGAAGCACGAAGTCGCCCACGAAGATGACAGCCTCGGACCCTCGCCAGGCCCCTGCGCGGGCCTTCCAGCGCATCCTGCAGCCGCAGAACCACACCGTAAACCCTCGGATTGTCACCTTGTGGCTGCACCCCCTTGTCATCAACCCATCTCTGCATCAACCCGGTGACATCGGCTTCTTCGTCTGTCTCCAGGTCCACGGCTGGGATTTCAATCAGGCTGGCCGCATGCATGATGGCTCCGAGCTCGGACATCAATGCTCTTATCATTGTGACAAGCGATATCGTCATAATCGCCTGTTCCTGAGCAGGAAAACGTGCAATGCTGTCCCTGATGTACTCCGCTCTAGCATCCGGGATGATGAAGGGCCCATGGAGCCCTGTGGTCTGGAGTTCACGCGGCAGGTCCGCCGTGCATCATCGGAATCTCTCGGCGGGTACGACCAAAAGGAGAAGTCCGGGTTGGGCAGGTCCCTGCGGTCGTCTCGGCTTCCGGTCGCTCTTGGTGACCGGGAACGGTCTCGCCCCCACGTCGTCCTCGTTCCATAAGATGCACTGCATCGCTCTCATGTTCCCGAAGGTAGGCGTTGTGGAGGATGTTCTCAATCTCCCGCGCCCATGCATGGAACCTTTCCGGTGTTGTAGCCATTTCGATGCCCTCACTGTTGGGAATGCCCGCAGCCAAGGTCCCCAAGGGCCACGTGCCCAATTGGAGTAGTCCGGGGCATCCCTGTCAACTACCAGCTTCCGCACCATACCAATGGCCATCCCAACTTCAAGCCCTTCCTCGAATCCCAGAAAGACTCCAGAGCTGCTCCCACGTGCGCCGTCCCGCCGGGCCGGAACAAGCCACTGAGCTCAGATTCTTCACCACCGAGTTCCCCGGAAGTCTTCACCCCTTCGTTTCCAAGCCTTCCATGAGGATCATCACGAGGTTCTCCACTTCCATCACCCTCCTGTCCTCGCGTCAACCCTTCCATGATGATAAGCTGTTCTTGCCGGAGGTCATCATCCTCAGGTAGGAGGTCCAATCGGCCCATGTTGATTAACTCTTCACGGGTTGACCACGAGCCGTCCCTCCAGACATGAGCTGCGTGGAAGATTCCGTACGGTAGCTCCTGGCCACGCGAGGGTGGCCGAAGAGCCACTGCTTCCCGTGGGGGCAAACCGGCGAGCCATAAGCAGGACCCTTTGCACCCATTCGTCCACTCGGGGGGGCCCAGGCGGAAGACCGAGCGAAACAGGCCTCAAAACCTCCGGGTTGCTCCGCATCTGCTGAACTCTCCACACGCCATACGATTCATACGATTCAATTGCCACACATCCGGCCGTGCCTTCTTGCCAGATCCTGAGCCAAGGCAAGCAGGATCGACGCTCTGATGGCCTGCTTCTTCTAGGGTTTAGGGTTTTTTTTGGTTAAAGTGTAGTGCCCCCCTTTCTCCTGCAGGGTTTAGGGTTTAGGGTTTAGGGTTTTAAATCCATGCTTCTGAGAGCCCCGCCACAGATATGTCAAAGTCATCCCTGGGCACAGGAAGCCAGGGAAGGTACTGAAGCAACCAAGCACTCCTATGCCGAGGGCCGAGCCTACCGGATGAGCAGTTGGTCACCCGAACCTGATGCGACTTGAACGGCGGGTGACCGTCAGCGCAGCATCTTTGCCAGAAGGAATGCTCGATCAGAACAAATGCCACACAACGGCGATCCTGCCTCGTCGCTCTGAACACTGAGGATTTGCAGCTGGGACACCTCGTCTGAACAAGGAGGGAAGGAGCTCTGCAGCTGGATTCGTGCACGAGAGGTGCAACGAGCTCCACCACGTTGTCCGGGAGGCCCCAGCCGCTCTCGCCGAGAAGCCTGCAGGAAGCCCAAGTGAGACGACCATGCCAAGCTGGCACCGGCAGACGCTCTCCAGCCGCTGGACTCCGGCCTCTTGATACCCGTGGGGCCCATGCTGTCCAGAACACACATCCTCCCGGTGCTCGGAGGCCTCAAGAAGCCCCAGCAGAGAAATCACGTGCGTCGAACACGAATCATCTTGAAGGAACTTCCAAGCAACCCGAAACCTTCGACCCAACCTAGGCCTTAGCAGGGGCGTCAAGGACTCGTGCGAAGACTTGAACTCACTCTTGAATCAACCGCCCAAAGGATGAAATGTCATCAACAGGCGATCCCTCCTTGATACCTGTGCCACCTTGATAGGCACAAAGGCTCGTCAAGCCACGTTGAAAGACTTCGGACACATGATACCACGGTAACATGAAGCTCTGGGATGTATGCATACATGATATTAGTTTCTACCATGGATCCAAGCAACATGACTCGGCGGAGATTCTGAGGGTCCAAGCTGAAGGGGTCGTACCTTGGCCATTGAGGCTTTTGCTCCAGAGGCCGGTGTCAACTCTGGGTCAATGCTATCCTGAAGCCTCCATGATTCAAGATCCCTGCCATGACTTTTCGGCACTAACAGAGTGTAGCCGTAGCCCTCAAGTGAGGGATATTGGAGTCTGTGCCGGCAGCCGAAGAGCTTCCGCCGAGGGCGATGAGAGACAGGTTTCTCGGGCTCTTCCCACACCGCGCCGTGCAGAGAGACCCCGATTCGGCCAGTTGCAGCAGGCAAGGTCACGATCCGCCCCACATGGTGGTTGAAGTCCTCCTGCCCCGGTAACTTGGCACGCGTGCAGCAGATCCCGATCTAAGCAAATCCCCAAAGAACCCTTTTTCAGAGGGCATGACAACTCACAGCTCGCTTCGGGTCCCTCTTGAGACCGACCAGGCGAACCAGATCGCCCACGCGGAAGTCCATGGCTCTCGCGGCCAGGTCACATTACCTTATCGCACCGTATCCTCTTCTGAAGGCTTGAGCAGCTTGCAAACTCACGTTTGAAGCTTCGTCGGTTCTGTGACACTGTATTGACAGATCGAGACGAGACCTCTGGACCATCACGGAGGATTGAATGGCTCTCGGGTTTGCGGTACTCGGCTACCCTCCCGTCCACACCCGCGAGCCGCATCGGCTAGAGAAGCACTGGATTGTAAGTCACGGCACAGCGGCAGGAGGCTGTGCTGGCTTTGTCGCACAGATGAAGATATCAACCACAAAAGCTACGTGCAGTGTGCCGAGGCAAAGGCATAGCGCCATCTTGAAAAGTCCGCCATGGGGTCAACAAGCTCGGAAAACTGAACCTCGGGACGCGGGATCGTTGTCTCTGTGTTGCAGCTTCTCCCTCGGCAAGGGCCGGGACCGAAATGTGCTCGGATTCCTCCGACTCTCGGACAGGCTGCATCTGAAGGCGCAGCCACAGGGCCTCGAAGATGCAGGCATTGGGCCAGTCTTTCACAGTGAAACATCTCGCTGGGAGACCTGGTGCTGCCAGAGGTGCGAGCTCACCTGCAACGGCACCACGGCACCACTAGACCGCCAGAGGCTCTCGAAGCTTCTGGATTCACCTCCGGCAAGGAGCCAAGAAGGCAGCAGCCGAAGACGTTGCCTTCAAGCGGCAGCAGCCGGGAGCAGAGCCTGGCAAAGGCTTTCGCTTTCTCACAGAAGTCTACCAAGTCTTGCAAGGCCCCCGCTTCTGCATCCAGCGAAATGATGCAACACCTCGCAAGCGACGCCATGCACAGCTCCCTAGCTGTCCGCTCTTGGCTGCGCGCCCTCCGGCGGACTGCACAAAGTGGCTGTCTGCCCTGGCGCATGCACCTTTGACAGAACCGAGCTCTTTCGGAAGTCTCGTACGAGCCGATTTGCGCCGGATGCCTTCAGGATCAAAGCGACTCTGCCCACTGCACCAGCCATTCTGGGCACCTCTCGCGACGGCAGCGATGACGGCACAACCCACCAGAGCCCATATCCCTCCGAGGAGCTGGCCGGCTTCCATGTGCCCAGGCACAGTGCAGAACCGTGAGGTGCTATGTCTGCTATGTGCTCTGCAAGTTGCAGTCTCTCGAGTCGAGTCTAGGCATTCACGGAGGCGAGCAATGCCAGCGACTTTCCAATTTTTAAACCGTCTTTAAAGGTGCCCGACGATTGCACATCTCCGATGTGTTAGCCATACCCTGGCTGAAGTCTGTTTGCAAACGCTTGGAAACGGATGCAAGGCGGCAGTGCTCTCCGCATACAATGGCATGAAGACTTCAAACCTTTCCAGCCTCTCAGATGCAACACTGACACGGCAGCAAACACTCCACGGGTCGGAGTGTGTGTGCAGCAGCCCTCAGGCCGTCAGCCCTGAACCGTTAACCCTAAACCTTAAACCCAAAATCCTCAGGCCCTGAACCCGAAGCCCAAAACCGAAAACCCTAAAACGCTGAGCCCCGGTTCTGGGCTTCCTGGGCCTCGGCCAGGCTGGGCCATCGGAGTTTGGCCGCCATCGAAGCTTCCATTTGGACCAGCCTCAGACAGGGAGGGTTGAGGGTTTAGGGTTTGGGGTGTAGGGTTTAGGGCGCGATATCCGCTGGGCATCCCACCGACAGGCGGGCCAGCATCTGACGGCCTGGAGGTAGGAATCATCAAGCGCTGTGCTGCAGCTTGGATACACGATTTCTGAGGCTCCAGCTCGCAGTCGTTGGGAGGTTGGGGCTGCGCTGGCTGCCAGCCGCCGCCGCACTGATCCCTCACCACCTTGGCCAGAGCCTGCGCCTCCTGGTCGTGCCGCACCCAAACATCTCCGTCGGCCCACAGCAAACGTCGTCCATCCTCGCTTAGGGCTCCAAAGTGCCGGCATCCATCGACGGCTAGAGAAACGATCTCCTGGCGCTCACCAGCCAGCCGCAGCCGTGATCGAGAGCCGTCGCAGTCCCAGCGCAAGACGTCTCCCTGTACCTCCCCTCGCAGCTCCCCATCTGTGGAGATCCAGAGACCGTTCAAATCCCGCGGCGTTTCCGGGCCAGATGTAGAGCCGTGTGAGGGGCCCAGCAGTAGGGCCCGCATGTGCCCCTTTTCTTGCATGGCTCGAACCTTTCTGTGCGACAGATTCGACCAAGGCGTCGATGATGTGCCAAAGGCTTGTTCAGCAGCGGCTTCGTACTGCCTTTCCTCGCGCCAGAAGGAGATTGGGGTGTTGGCCCTTCCTCCTACGTCCCAAATCTTAAACTTGTCCGGATCATCGATTTTCGTCTGCTCCACCAGCCGAAGACTCGCTCGCTCGCTCGTGGCTGGCCGGAAGTCCCTGCGAGACTCGCCCAGGCTCAGGCTCAGGCTCAGGCTCAGCCCGACATCGGAGCTCGCTGGGGCAGTTGCTGGCGGGGTGGCAGCCCTCGCCGGACGATCCGACTCAATGAGGATGCGCGGCGTCGAGGGCTCCCTCGGCTCCCTTGCCATTGCGACGCTGGCTCAAGGCAAACGTAACAAAGCACGTTCTCTCGGCTTCCTTGGACGATCTCACATGGACGAGGGTCTCGGCTCCTTGCAACAGTTCGCCCGTTGTTACATGTCAATGTGACCTCATGAGATGACAAAACCACGCGGGCTGCCCGAAACATGCACCAATGCTGCCTTGTGTTGCTAAATCCCCGCGAGGCTCAGGTGCACGACCCCTTGCAGGAGAACAAGACATCCTGCAGACACCCTACTTTATATTGAAATGTCATCCCACCTCCTGTCTGAAGCTTGATGCAGGCACCTCTAGCCTCTCCAGTCGCTGTCGCAGCTCCTGCTCGAACTAGGCCCTTGCACTTCTCTTTCTGAGCTGAGCCCAAAGAAACTCCGTCCTCAGAGAGAGGTGGCAGCGGTGGCGGCGGCCAGACCGAAGCAAAGCCAAGTGCCTGCCATCCCTCCGGCCCCCCGTTGCGTCAGACCGAGGTCATACGACACCCCGACAGCTCTCACGCCGCAGGGGAGGCTGTGGAAACCACACTTGATAGAGTCAGGGAGCAAGCTATCTGGGAAGTCGACGGAGTACTCTGTTCGATTTCTCGCTCGGAAGGTTCCATGTGGACAAGCACACAAGAGACAAAGAGTTTCCTGGTCACAATGACGCCCACGACGCCTCCAGTCGGTCGGTGCTTCGGCTGCGCCGCCTGCATGGTGACACAAAGCGAATCTCACGAACCCGAGCCAAAGCCAGCTCTTGTCCTGCTACAGCGGTGTCTTCGGTTGCTGGCTCTGCTTCTGTAGTCAGTCAGTCAGTCGCCTTTCCAGTTCCTCAGCTTTGGAGGCGAACCACATGGCCGTGGGGACTGGTGGTAGAGCCTGCATTCCGTGGCAACTCTGGCAAGGTTTTCACAGAGCTACACTTCGTGCACCAGGATGCTGGAAAAAACAACAGATACCCGGCAGAGTCAGAAGTAATTGCTTGCTGACCTGTCAATAGCTTGCAAGCGCTTCTTTGCTATTTTAACATCTGCATGCACAGTGGGTGAAACTTCTTATGCTACGAGTAGTCCTGGCCTGGTGCGTCTGGCTGGAGGCCCACTTCGAAACTCTGTCGATGCAGGTCTTCTGCAACGATCTTTCGATAGAGCACGCTGCATCCGCTAATGCGCAAGCACACAGCTTAGCATCCTAGTGCTTCCTTCTCGGTTGGGTCGTCTGCAACGGGCGAAAGCACCGGAGCTAGGTGAAACTACACAAACCTATGCCTTCAATGTTTTCGAATACCTCAGTCAACAATGGTTTTCCGGGAATCGCACATAAGCCATCTGCAACCAAAGCTGGCACGGTCGACTCAGCGCAGTGCTGCTTCGAGTGGCGAAGCATGTAGAATGCAATAAACCTCAGATTGCGGCTTAATGGGGTACTGCCCACTTTTCTCGGCATGCTTCTGACATGGACACTCGAACATACTCAACACACTTACGGAGACGGTAGCGACGACATATTCTCACACAGCGCATACGGCTGCGTATCGCCGCATCATAACGAAGATGAGCGGTCAACAAATCATCATTTGCATACCACTTGCACAGGCTCTCGCACGGACACTCACTCACTCACCCACTCACTCACGCACTCACTCACGCACTCACTCACGCACTCACACTCTCCGAAACAACGAGGCCCAGGATCAGCGAAGCATTTTGGGATGACTGAGCAGCATGGCACGCTGGAGATTGGTAGCCGCTCCGGATGCCCACTACATGCTCTCAGGAACGTGGGGGACTGCAGTCTTCGGGGAAGGCGAAGCTATGTGCACAATCGATGGACCGAATGCACGTGTAGATTACAACGGCAAAATGTCGGCCTTTCGCTCGGAAGTATTCCCGCAGACTGCTTTCACGGCCACCCCGACCGGCATAGACGTGGAGCAGAGGCTCGTGGCTTGTGCATCCGAACGCCCACCCGATACACCAGCACCAACCCCACAAGCAAAAGGAGGCCTAGTGCACTCGCAGGCGAGATGGTCGCACACTACCCAGCAATGCAACACCCCACTCGCTTATCAGGGAGACACCTCATGCGTCAGACCCGTATACTTGGAATTTCTGATGATGGTGGGGCTAGAAAGGAAAACAAAAAACCTCAGCAAGTCGGAACTGGAGTCGAGGCTCGAAACCCGTTGTCATACCGACCTGGGGCCTGGGGCCCGAAGGAGTTCCCAAGCAAGGCTTCTGAAGCCGGGCCCAGCTCTTCAACAACATGGGTGGCAACACAGGCCGGGCCTTGAGGGAAAACCTAAGGTGCGGCTGCTGGAGAAGAGCAAGCAAAGCACAGACTACTGTACATAGATGTTGCACCCATACCCCCACATACCAAGGCCGAAAAAATCAAAAATGGCCTAAACCAGCGAGCAACGGGAGGCGGGGTTCGGGGATCTGCCCCAAACGGATGACAATGTCTAGGTCTCCGACTCGATGGGATCCTCGGGACGGTCTCGCTGGCACGCCTGTGGAAGCACTTCATGAGGGGCTCTCGTCCGTTTAGGCTCATGACTCGCTACAACAAAAGTGCTACCCCGCACTTCATCGACGCTCGGTCACCCTGTCTCATAATACAAAGTCGCGCTCGACATAGCAGAGTCTGAAAACGTCACAGAACGCAATTATGTGAGAAGCTCAAGTATTTGGCTAGCTAGCTGTCCTTGGATGTGCAGATGTTCACAGGCAGGAATGAGATGGAATGAGCACAGCCTACTTCCCGAAAAAACGGAGTGCTGCATTGACTGCAACAGGTGGAAAGGCTGGCCGGTGGATCTCGACCCAACGCCTCTAGTGCGGGCAGGAGGGCCGGAATGATGTTGCGGTAGAGCCACTCCTAGCAGGAACGGTTCGAGATCAGGGATGAGGAGAGCTTGGGCAACGGTTCAGAATGCACGACAGCGAGGAGCCATACAAAAAGCAGCTCAAAGCCACAATCGACCAAGCAACATTAAACTTCGTCAAACAACCGAATTTCCCGCTGTTGATGGTACCTTTAGGTCCCTACTCCACTCCGCAATTGAACCGAATACAGCCCCTGTAGACCTGGCTACATTAAACTAGACATAGCAATGAAACCGAGGCATGATGCAAGCATGCCTTGGGAGTCATGGCAGCCGCAGCTGCCGCGGCTTTTTTCTGCTCCTTCAGGCACGAGCGCGCTGCCGCCGCTAGCTTTTCGTAGCTTTTCACCTGCTTGCGAACTTGGTCCAGAGGCGTCCTCCTCGGAAAGCGCCCTGACCACGCCTTCTGCGTGTCTGTCCTGATGGTGGCACAGACGAAACCAACGGGGCCAAACAGAACTTTTACAGCATGCGGCAATTGTCGACTCTGTCCTCCACGATCATCTTGGACATGCTAAGCTCACATGCCTGTCGGTAGACATCAACACCAACTGTCCGTGTCCCAGCTCACCATCGGCATCACGCCTCCGTCGCCTTGAGGAAATATTCAACATCAGTCACTGCCTGCGCAGAAGGTGGGGCTTGGGCCATATGATGGTCTGTCTTCAGCACACGACATCACAGCCCGTTGCGTTGGAACTCTGTTTCGGCAGCCTGGAAGAAGTCAACACGATGCAAGTACACGTTTGAAGACTTCTCCAACGGAATCGGCTCTCCATTCACAGCATTTCGAACCTGCCACGCAGCAGAGGCAGGTGAACTAGGCGGCACATGTGAAGTACCACACTGACAAATTCAGACAAGTTGCATCGACACAAGCGGCATCCTCCTGGCATCAGCTCTTCCGATTGCCCGTGGGCTGGGCTCCACAACAAGTTGCGTGTTCAAGACGTGCCTTCTCGACGTTGCCGTCGAAGAAAATGTGCTGGACCTCCAGATGAAGGCGTCGCGAGCATCTTGTCGCAGTGCTTGCCCAAGCAACCCATGCCACTGATTTTATGCTGATCCTGTTGATCCTTTTCTGTCACTCGTCTTCCTCATGTTTGGTCCTCCTCCTCATCCTCCCTCTCCCCTCTCGCTTCCCCCCCTTCCCCCCTGGCCCTCCCACCCGAGACTGATGTCACGGATGTCCGATATTTCTCCCTCCACTCGAGCAACAGCATGCAGCTCGGTTCTGCAATTCACGTGACTGTTTGCTCCTGTTGTTTCTCCGTCTCATTACTTTGTCTCATTGAGCCATATTCATTGCAGAGTTTAGTGTTCTGCTCTCATGCCTCCCTTGTGCTGCTTGTAGCTGTTCACATTCGCTAATATGAATGTTCTTTCTCCTTTCTCCAACGTTTGTTGCTGCATGGTCCAACTTCAGGACTTCATGTCAACCGATGCTTGATCCTCTGACGGCACCTACCAACCCCCCTCGTCGGACGGGCAAGACTGGCACCTAATGAACTGTTCTCTCCATCTCACAAACCATGCGCCTTGATTTTCCCCTCCTTCTTCATCAAGGCAGTCGGCAAACCCTTTCTTTCTTGAGAATATGAGTCCGGGTACAAGCATCTCTTCGCTATAAGCAGCGTGCGGCTGGCCTTTGTCTCAGCACGATCTATCAGCAGCATCTTCCCAGCTGTGCTTACGCGTTCGTGGGTCTCCCAAAACCTTTGGGGCCGGAGAATTGCCAGCATTGCGCTATGCCGCTATGCCGCTATGCACTGGTCTTCACTCCGAGGGCTTAAGTGTCCCACGCGAGATCATCCACGATCGCAGCTGTGTTGGTTGTTTGTAGAATCTGGTGCCTGGCCGTTCTGAGCACTCAAACAGCACAATCACTCTCTGGGACTCTTCTAATTCTAGGTCCGCGTGACGTCAACATGCTCAAGGCACATCACTGCATCAAGCTCGACGGAAGCACATCAGACCGGCGTACGCTTCGTGGTACGGTGGAAACGTGTACTCCGTAGGCCTGGCTCCACAGAGACACACAGACCACCAGCATGATCTACTGCGTGCCTGAAAGCCGATTCCGGCAAGTCTGCCTGCAAAGAGACGGAGACGCCGCGTCTCGGCGTCTCGGAACTTGGAGACTTGGGGAGACCGGGGCTTTTGCCGAACTGGCCTGGGGCTCCGCTGACTCGGCCACCTCTGCCAACCTTGGAGCCGCTGAGCTCACGAGAGGGCGGGGGGTCCGAGCCGCGATGGGCCCCGGACTCTACAGGACGGTCCCTGAAGCGGAGGAAGCCACCCATCCGATCCATGCCTGCGAGGGTAGCAGCAAACCACATGGACCTCCAAGAAGACTCCAAGGCCAGGGCGTCCGATCGCTGCTTGCGACAGGCGCATGTCTCTGGATCCCTTACATTGACAGGCGTACTTGGGAGGGCTCAAGGCGATCTTGCAGAAGGTTCCCGAGACGGTCCTTGTTGCCGTCCATCAGAGGAGGCCTTGGAAGTCGCGAAGGACTGGCTACTTTGATAACAGACCTCTCCTGCGGAGACTTCTTGCCGACCAGCAGCTTCTGGGTCTTGTTCTGACCGTTGTAGGCTGGGTGCTGGCACTGTGTGAACAGCCTCATGTTGCAACATCGTGAACGACATCCTCCAAATCCCTCCTAGCTCGGACATAAGTGCCGCCGAAAGGAAAGGCCAGATACCCTTTCACAAAGCCGTCTGAGAGATGTGCTGCAGCTCCTTCTGTGCCTGGCAAGGGTGAAGGAATGGACTCTGAATAGACATCCGCCAGCACGATACTGTGCACATGCCGCCCTTCCTTTCTACGGCATGTGAGAAGCAGGCCAGAATCATCCGCAATCCAAACTCATGCCTGAACGAGCTGGTCTTCGCTGAAGGAGCGGAATACGACCGAGAAACGTCTGCCGCGCTTTGTCAGCTGAATCTGAGTTCTCCAGTAGTGAGAATGGTGGGACATCCAACCGGTGATAGACGTGAATGAGACAGAAGCACCGGGGCAGCCACCAATAAGTACCAAAAGGACGGAAGAATCTGGTGTCGCCCGAACCGCATGATGTTTTGCGCCTCAAACTTACATCTGTGCGTTTCTTTGAGGAGGGCATCCTTGATGTGCTGCCTCCGTTTTTGTAGGATCCTCAGGAACCTCGTCCTCCTTCAATGAAACCTGAGAGTTCGGAGAGCATATGAGAGCATGGCTCTCGCTTCACATGAAAACCGCTGCCACCTTCTTGATGCCGAAGGCTTTGGCAAGGGCCTCGCAAAAAGAAGCAAAGTGTGGGTCCTGGGTTGGCGTGGTCAACGAAGATCCTCTGCCTTGTTGGAGTGCTGAAGGTTCTTGATCATCTGATCATACATGGGCCGGAACCTGGCAAGGCTGCTGAAAACCGGGGAAATCCACGAAGGCACCCGGATTCAAGGATTTAACTCTGGGCCGGTGCGCTTTGTGCCGGGCTCCCCAGGGCAGGTGAAGCAACATCGCTTGCCGGCACCCAACTTGAGATTCTCTTCCCGCGCCTGGGGGGCGAGTGCCTTTCTAAATTTTGGAAGTTATGAGCTGAACACCAAGGCGGGTCCTTGTCCTCCATGGTCGGATCAGCTGGATATGCTCGCGCGACGTACTCTGAGTACCTGTGCACTGGCCGTGAAGCCCAATCAATAATACCAGCCTCGACCCCAAACAGCAATTTGGGAGACGAATGGGAGACAAGTGGGAGACAAATGAGTAGCGGTTTTTAGAGTAGTGCCGTGAGAAATCCAAATGAGCGTTATAGAATCCTTTTCTATTAAGCAAATCAAGAACCCCTCAGCTAAAGCTGTTTGGGGAACAAAAGACGCTGCCACAGTCTGGCACGTGATGAGCGAGGAGTGCGGAGGCTCAAGTGATGGATCCGGAGACTCCAGGGTCTCAGTGCATTGCAGAGCTTTGCAGAGCTCCCGAAGGCAGTGCCAGGTGCCGAGTCCCGGGCCCATTCACCTGATTCTTCGTCGACGGACCCCCAAGCCAAGCTAGATAGAGCCTCAGCAAGGCCCTCAGAGCCTGCAGTTCTGGCCGCTAAGCTGTGGTCTTCAATGTGAGTGGACCCTGCCGCGACACACCTGGAAACGCCTCTTACGGACTTCCCCCGTTAGCTTTGCCCCCTCATCCTAGGACCCTCATGGACATGCCTCGCCGTAGCTTGCTGCTTGCAAATTCTTGCGGGCTTGTGGGAGCTGTGCAGCGATGCCGCGTCCAGACCCATACACACCTTTAAACGAGAACCCTCCTTCTGTGCATTCGGGAAGAATCGCTGCTACAGATTCCGTCCTATCCCGCGCTTCGCAGCAAAGACCGAAGAGATGAGTGTCTGGCATCATTCAGCTCGTCCTGCCATGCAGGATGCCAGCCAGCAGTTGATTTGCCGAAGCACGCACTCGCGCTGCACGCCTCTGTGCTTCTACCCAGGGCCATGTCGCAGGTCATGATGGTGCCTGTGGTCATGGTGTGCCCGCGGTGCAAGTCTAGATAACTCTCGGGATCCAAGTGAGTCACGGCCACACCAAAGAGCTAAGCGCCGGACGTGGCAGTGCCACATGCAGAACCAACCATCGCTTTCTCTCATCCTGGTTAAGCGACAGCTCTTGGCTCCAAGCAGAAGGCACGTGATCGGGTTCCTCTGCCAGCTCGCTCTCAAAAGGAAAAGCGGGCTCCTGCCAAGCTGCCAGGGCGCAGAACATCGAAGTTCAGAGTTCATTCTGTCGGAATGAGCGCTTTCGGGCCGTTCGGGGTTCACAGGACCGTTGGCCTCGTCGGCCTTTTCTTCTGGGCAGTTGCATCTCTGACGCCCAGTGCTGCCTCGATCGGTGGCGGCTGCAAGGGCATATCAAGCCCCCCAGCCGGGGGATCCATAGGTGGTGCCTGGCCATTGAGGGAGTCAGCTCCGCTGTTTTAAAGTGCTGGCGGGGACTAGGACCAGGATCTAGGACTCCATAGCTTAGCACCTGCCTCTGCTCCATCTGGGCCTTGGAGTGTGCGGCCCTGTTTGGATCTCACGGCAACAGGCCCCTTAGGCCCGGACCTGCCATGAGCGCCTCAGCCGTCTTTCCACAAACTGTGCCAGGCAAAATTTGAGCTGAGCTTTGTGCCTGCGGCCCGGCCCAGGCAAGGCGGACTACTCTGACTGCCCTTTTTGAGCCCATGGCAGCCGAGACGGTAAGGGGAAGACCGAGGCTACACGGCACCTCATGACTCGACATGCTTTCGAGAGCCTCCAAACCAGAATCACTGGGTTGAGGGCTCGACGGCCTGGGCACTCGAACATTTCTGCTGATTCTGGCCTGATGTTGCGAGGTGGCCTGCTTCTTCCACGCCGCGAAGTCGGGACCTTGGTAAACGCAAGGATTTCTTCATCCGGATGTGAGGGCTCTCGTCTCGCGGCCGAAGTGACTCCAGCTCCACACCCGGGGCCCGGACACTGGTAGGTGGCATCGGGAGCGATGCCTCCGTGATTCGAAACAGGGAGACGTGCCAAGCCGGGCCAAGTGCCCAAGCCTGGAACTGTCGGCCTTCCACGCCCGTCGCGAGCACAAGAGGCTCGTCCCTGGGCCGAGCGACGCAGCAATGCGGCGATGGCAGGAAAGCATGAGGCAAAGCGACCGGCCGAGGCAGAGACACGGCTGCGGGACCATGGCTCCAACCACGGGAACTCGGCTTGGCCGACCCTCCCTGACAAAAGAACACACATTTCCGAAATTGCTCGCTGGCTCCAGGTTCGAGATGGCAACACTTGCTGTCCTTGCCTGGCTCGCCGGTGTACCGGTCATTTCGCTGCCAATTCGCATGGCCTCTCAGAAACTGAACATGGTTCTTCAATCAGTGTGGGCCACTCAGACACCCAAAAACCGACAGTGGGCCTCCAAATTCACGGGAGGCACTCTGGGCGCTTGCCTTTCCCGCATGGCCAGCCTTGCCTGCATTGGAACTCAAGACTTCCACTGCTCATTTCATTCTTCTTCCCAAGGTCCGACACCTTCGAAGCAGCGAGCAGAGATCGTGGCTCTAAACACTCAAGAAAGGCAAATCTCGATCTGCTCCTCCCCGACACCTCAAATTGCCTCGATGTGCACGCACCCCAAACCCAAAAAAAAAATACGAAGGACCAACTGTGTCTCGGCCCGCAGGCCTGTGGGCGTGGCGACACCCCAGCACTCAGAGAAACGGGCTCGGTGCCTGCAGATTTTCGTTTGTCACCCTAATCGTGAGCCTGGTCCCCATTCTCGAGCTCATTATCTTGCTTCTGTTCACGGCAGTATCTGTAGTCTTTGGTACGAGTATCCGAATCATGGCGTAGGACAGAGTATCCGCCTTTATTCCCAGAACGGAATCCAACACGCACACTCAGAAATGTTGAAAAGGCATCCGATGTACACTTAGCAGAACCCTCACTGCAAATCCTGCTCGAGCAAGCAGAAGCAACTGAAGACATCCCACTGCATCCTGCTGACCCCAACACTAGCGAACCGAAATTTCAATCTCACCACCTGTCCGTGCATGGCATAGACTCAACGGCGCTTGCCGAAATTCTGCATGCACTGCCTACATCCAATGGCATCACGGGAGGTGGGCTTCCACGGCGCGCCTCCGCAGCTTGGTCTGCTTTGGTTCCGTGATGCATAATAGATTCGAGGCACGAGCTCAGGACAGGGTGCAAAGGCGTCCAAGGTTAGCCATCTTAAGAAAACCTGACCTGCCGGTGCCTCGGCACTGCATGTGCGACAAGCTCAAGTATACCTGCTCCCTGCCCGCGAATGCCTGCCAGCTCCCCACACCAGCGCTACCAGAACCTCAGTGACAGCTTCAGACGAAGAGTGTAGCCCCTTCGATCTCAGCACACATCATGGGCTGGGTCACAGAACTGGTAAAGTAAGAGCGGGCAGAGATGAAAAGAGGAAATGCAAAGCTGGAGACTTAGCCCTTGACGATCACCGGCAGATCCGCCAAGCCTAGCATGCGACCATCTGGGTTTAGGGCTTGGGGATTAGGGTTTAGGGCAGTTTAGGGTTTAAATGCGCAGAGGGGAAGATAGCCTTGGCAGTGGTGCTGGCGTATCGGCATCCTCAGAGACCTCGAAGGGGGCATTGACCTGCGCGGCTCCAAAGAGGCTCACCCAAGGGGGGGGGTAGCTCGAGCCCTCTGAGCTCAGAGATCTTTTCGTCGCGGGATTGTCTGGTAAATGCTGGAACCTACTAGGGCTCTTGCACCAGAACTACGGACAGGCGAGCGGCTTACTCCTGACCAATCCGAGCTGAGAAGCGTTGCTTGAGTTCTCCAGCCCCAACAACAAAATGTATGCGTTGATGCTGCATGGCTACAAGACTGGCCCCAAGAACAGCCAGCTCTCTGATAATTTGCGGGCCCACAATCTGTGCAGCATGGCCTATTCAATCAACCAGAATCGAATTCTACAGTTCAACTGGGTGTTGGTGTCCCAGAATAGCAATTTGACGGCTCTTGTAGCTGCACGGGCCAGAAAAACAGAGGACCGCGGCCCCAAGGCACTGCTAATGCACATGTAAATCCTGTACCCCTCTGGCCATGGCTACATGCCCTCGCCGTTCTTCCCACTGCATCGTCTAAGGCTTCCTCAGAGCTCCAACTGACATGATCCAGCTGGGTACACACAAAGTGAGATAGTGAGAGGATGTGCTGGTAAGTTGCCTGCACAACATTTGCGATCCTCCAAGTCAGGAACACAGAAATGCGAAAGGATCGGTGTACGTGCAAAACCGTCATAACTCTATGGGACTCTGTGCTCCTGTCGGAGATATTCCTACTGAGTGGAGTTTGATTTCCATCAGGAAATCACGGCCTCTTGCCCAAGTGCTCAGGCCTTCACCAAGCACTCGGATATTTTGATTAATAGGCGACCATGGCATTCCCAGTTCTGCTGTAAAAATGGTCGTAGTGTTGACGGTTCTCGACGTCCAGGAGTGCCTCAGTAGCCTTCTCACATCGGATCCTCCCGTCCTAACTTGTGTGTTTTACAAGTGTGTTGTTGCTCGCTGCTTGCAGTTATGATAGTAAGCCTGCGCCAGTCTCGTCTTTGCAGAGTTTGAGTCTAACCGTCTGGTCAGCATGCAGGTCTACCATAATGTTCCGGCAACCGACGGTGTTCACGGCTGTGAAACGAGACCCTGAGGATCAAGTGACTTCGTCACGAGTCGACTTTCTCTGCATCCCGGCGAAAGCCGAAAGCTTTCAAAAACACAGTCTTCTTCGATGTAGATCCGGATCTACAAATTCCTTAACTTTGCCAGGATCTGCAAAAGGTGAGACCGAATTGCCTTTGCAAGGAGCATCTATTGGCTCCATTTGCTCCCCTTGTGTTGGCCCTTTCCAGCTGCGCCGCGGGAAAGGACACGAGGTTAGCAGCAAGACATGGTTACAGAACTTTGTAAGTGTTCTCAAAAGGGACGATAAGACAGGCCTCACACGCGAGGCCTCTAGAGGCACGCGAACTGCTACTGCAGAGCACTTGGCAGTCTCGCCAGAAGCTGGAAGCTACAAAGGCCCACGATGAGGCAGCACCAGCTCATCAATCAGGTGCCAGATCTGGACGTTGCCTGGCGGTCTGTCCGAGAATCTAACTGCAGCAGGTCCTGGAAATGACGCAGATACTCCTCTACTCCGACTGCAGTTTCAAAGCCAAACCTTGCCAGCACTGCCTCCTGGGAGTACTCCCCAGTGGGCACAGATCCAGCTCCTCTAATCGCCTGCAACAGCCAGGACAGCGCTTTAGCAGCTTCTGAGAAAAATCTGGGGACCCTGCATCCTCCTGATCAGGAACCCAGCTATGTTCTACAATTCTAGCCGAAAAGATCGGCTTCCTTGGGTAAGCCCATGTGTCCACGGTGGGCATGCTGCACAAAGCAGCTGCCCGCAGTGAATAGTGCTTGTGGCTTAAACATCTTGAAGTACCCGTCACTCATGTCGAAGACGTGCACTCCAACGACAATAGAAACAAATACATGTGTGTATCCATACAGCATGCATGTGTGAACACTGTCCCCAACAAATGTAACTGAAAGCAGCTGACTTACGCTTCTTGCTGCAACCCGCTGCGCATCCGATGTCAGCCAGATGCTGCCTATGCTGGGCCTATGCCTTGCAGTGACCTGAAAACGCACATGGTTTGCGGCTTTGCTCCACTTCGGGAGGCCTGTAGGGCAGATCAAGAACTCGTCGTGTATGTGCAGTTTCGCGGCATCAGAGGCACATCAGCAAACTTCAGGGGTATGTTGTTTGGGGTGGTATGTTCTGATTTTCTTGATACATGTTAGTTATATGTGTTTGCCGTGTTTGTATATGTGTCTGTGTATGTCTGTATGTCTGTATGTCCGTACGTCTGTATGTATTTATGTATGTATGTATGTATGTATGTATGTATGCATTTCTGTGTGTATGTATGTGCGTACGCGTGTGTGTTTGTGCTTCTGCCTCTAATTCACATATATATATATATATATATATCACATGTAAACAAATATGTGTGTATATATGTATGAATCAACCTGAATGAGCCAAGCATCTTCTATAGAGCCCTTAAGTTTCCCAGGCCTGGAAGCGAGAACTTGCTTTCGTATGCAAGCCACGTGTCTCGGCATTGAGGCCTGGCACGGACGGCACAGGGAATGACCGGATTTGGACACGTCTGGGAACATTTTTCCTTGTGTAGCGGCACGGTGCCTTGGCAGCCGCTCCTCTAGTATCCGGAGCAGCAGAAAACGGAGAATGCACTGCCTGGCAGCTGATTGAATCTGAAAATATGGGAAGGCCAACTCTGAATCGCACCGCCCGCGACAAGTGCTCCATTACCAAGCACAACTTCAATTCCATCTCCGTGCCCTCCTGGGCACTGGCCTCGGACACTCCGTTGAGCAAGGCCTCTGCTGCCTGAAACACACACGGACACGCCGCGCTTTTGTCGTTAATCCAGAGTTCTCCTCTCCTTGCCTGGGCAGGGGTGCCCGCATACCGAGGTCCGGTGGCAGATATAGGTATGCCTGCAGCCAAGAAACCCTGCATCCAGCGGAAAAAAGTGAAACTCTTGAAACCAGGAGGAGCTCAAGAAGAGTGAAGTTGTGGAGTAGCCTGGCCTTCGTCAATGTCACGCAAGCCTTGGCCAAAAACGGTTCATGATCACTGTTGCTTCCTACAATTACCAATGCTATTAACTGCTGGTGCCAAATCTTCAGCATTCCTGTCATTCTCCCCAGGATTGTGGTTATCACGATGACATTGCAAACACGGCAGCTACAAGTATCACCGTACGGCCTTGCTTGGCACACTCACCGGTACGTTCGTCAGTCTCTGCAATGATGCTATCTCGCTTCCACGCAAGACAGTGCAACCCTGGATGCTTCCTTTCGCACACTTTTGCCCGAGCCAGCCGGTCAGCATCCTTCATCTGATGTACATCAGAATCTGATGTATCCCGAAGAGTGCATCTACATGAAGCAACTGGCCTGAGTCAATGAAGTGCTAATTACGGTTCGGGTGAAAAGTCAAACGAAAACACCTGCTAAAATCACAGAAGAAAAAGCGAAAATCTCATCTGCAATGGAAGTCTTCGCCGCTCCTCAGAGTCGTAGCATGACGGGATGGGCTCGAGCTCTGCTGCCCAGACCACTTTGGTACAACACTCAGAACGGGAGTCGACTAGAGTGGTGAAGCGTCGAACTTGATCGCGCTTGTGCATGGTTAGTTTGGGGATGCTTCCCAAGTGCGGACATCTGACCAGCGAGCGTGGCATTGCCAAGAACACCACATGGAAAGCACGCTCGCGGGCCAGAAGGTCCGCTGAGCCTAGGTCCTAGACTGTGCATGTCGGATAAGTCATCTCTGCATAGCGGGGCACAAGGACCTTGCCCCGCTCTCCGCCTGCATGCTGGCACGGAACTTCCCCTTGCATACACCAGGGAACTCAAACCATCAATCACAATGTCGGGTTTTTACGAGTATGTGGGTTTACGATGTCAGGGGCACTGCTGGCGTGAAATCACATCTCTTGTCTAGCAAATAGGGTCCAAGGATCTTGGCAAACTTATAATGCAGGATTTCCTGCTCAGCAGGTCCATTTGGGGTAACGTAAACTCGGTCGTCCTCCCCATCACACGTGGAGGTCATTCGGCAAACCACCCCTGCGCTGATGTCATACAATCGTAAAAGTCTTCAAGCATAGGAAAAGATGGCAGGAAAAGCGCGACGGCGCGCAACTCGAAGAGCGCTAAGAATATGCGTTTCATGATGTGTGTCATCTGAAAGTCGTCGAAGCAAAGGAGCCAGGCTTCTCGCATCATGTCGTTTGACACCTGCTCCACCAAATCGTCGGCAGTGCTGTCCCTGTTTGATTTGTGCATTTTTTTCTGATGCAGTCGTTCGTGGACTTCAATCATCCACTCATGGAAATCGAGTAACTTCCGGTGTGAGGGTAGCTTCCTCTGCCCTTCACTAACACCCAAGCATGCTGAATTCGTGACCGGAAGCCCAGGTACTCCATGTAGAAGCAGCATAGGGCCAGCGTAGGGTAAGAAGGCAGCTCGCACACAAAAAAAAGGCAGATATGAATACAAGTACTACACTCATCCGCTTAGCGAGACTTCGTTTGTGCGGTGCAAGATCGAGTGCCCGCCCCAGAGAAGTTTCGACCTGTATGCCGTTGGCGACTGGTACATCTTTTCGTAGAACGGGTTCATCATGAACCTCTTGCCGATGCCGGTGGCCTCCCACAGGTGCACCCCCGCCACCAAAGGCAGCCATGTCATTGAAGCTTCAACGACATGGCTGCCTTAGGCGACGGGGCCCTGGCTGCTTTTGGCCTGGCTCCAAAAATGCTTCCGAACGTTGAAGCCTGCGGTGCTCGGCAGCGGCGTGGGCTTGGGAGCTCTTGCCATTGTATTTCAAGTGCTTCGCTAGGCCGTCCAACAAGACCTCCTGCGAGGAGAGGTCGCCTGAAGCTTCCAGTTTCGGATACTTCTAGAACGGTGAGAATCCCTCTCTCGCCGACGGCTGCTGGCAGGCAGACTGCTGTTTGTGCCCTGGCTGCTCTGTCCTGTCATCTTAAGCCGAAAGTTGCGTTGGTGGCCATTGTTTCGCACCTGCTCCGGTCTCAAGAAAGTTGCCGCAACTCAATTCTTTGTTGCAATGTTGTCATTGCAGTCAGGACTGTTGCCGCTACGAACTTCGAAACGCAACTCCTGTCCTGGTTGCCCTGCAGTCAAGCCAAAAGCACCCTGCACAACCCATGACTCCAAGAACAGCGTTGAAACAAAATCCTGACTAAAAGGGTTAGAAGCCTTAAACCGAGGCCGTAGCCCGACGGGCTCGCCATCCACGGGAACATGGAGGAGCGTGGCGCTGTGGTCGAGCGCCGGGAGGCGCGAGAAGAGGCTCGGCCTTAAAGAAAGCTTGATCAAAAGAGAGGAATAGTTTGGAAAGAGTTTGGAGTAGCGGTTCGGGAGAGCAGGGCTGCCCCTATCAATCAAGCTCGGGTTCGTGCTCCTCGATGTGCCAACAACTATGCCTCCATCTTCCAAGATGGGATCCATAACTGTGCCTGGCCCGGGTGCACCACAGACACATCCTGAGAAGCAGCAAATTCGAAAGGAAAGCGGAGAACCTGGAAGCCCCAGGTCAGACTCGCCGAGGGCCCCTCTGGAATCCTCACAGCTCCACTCTGCGGTCCAAAGGCTTCGCCACGCGCCAGGCCCGGTCCTCTAAGATGTGCGGGCCGCCATGCCCAGGTGGTGGCACAACCGGAACCGTCGAGGCCGGGGCCATTGGCGGAGCTGCCGGGCTCGAAGGCACTGGGTCGTGATCGGGGTCCTTAAAACCAGACACTACACATTGCAGCAGATATCGATGTTGAGCACTGTTGGGCAGCTGATGGATTGCAGTTCCAGGCACCTGAGACGGAAGGAGCAAACACGTCAGGTGCTGGGCCCCAGGCTTTCACCTCAGACCGGGAGATGATTCGTCTGATCCTGGCTTGTGCATCACAAGCTGGACCTCGGGATGCAGATCACCGAAGGTGCCGGAGCACGAAACGGAACCCCAACATCCCCACAAGGCCAGGTCAAGCAAAAACCACAACTCTGGAGAACACAGCTCGAGGCTGCGGCCGAAGTCGACATCCTTCGGTGTCACCGGAGGTGTGGGCCTGCGGAACGGAACCTGGGCAGGACAGGGAACGCACAAGCGAGATCCAAGCGAGAGCTTCGCAGCAAGCTCGAGGCCCTGGCCCCTCTTCCGACCTCTCCCTTTTTCATGGGTGTGGTCGGACGAGACACCGTCCTGGCAGATCTGACTCGGGCTACAAGCCACTTCAGCTGTAACTTGCCAGGCACACCTTTGGCTAATTCCCATGGGAGACGGATCTCTCGATCGCAGCACCTGATACTGACGAGAAGCTTCTCTCAACAGATGTACGGTTCAGCCACTGACAACAAAATCGTCGTGTCAGAAGGCTGCTTTTGCATCTCCATTCTGCGCTTCTTTGCCCCTAAAACCTGACACCGAGAGCAGAGACGTCCGGCGCACGAGATTCGAGATGGAGACCTTCGGTGTGTGGAGAGATGCCGGAACAACGTGCTCGAGGGCGTCGCGGCGATCTGCAGGAGGGGAGCATGACCTGGAGAGCCTTCTATCCCACTGGTGGTCTTTGGAGACGCATGAGCATGTGCACGAGCTGCAAAGAGGGGCCAAGTTGGTCCAAACCGAAAAGCTCCGGATGAAGCACCGAGGCACCCTCACTGCCTTCACCAGTCAAATCCTCGTCTTCCAGTGAGCAGCAGACAATGTTGCTGTTTGCGATTGCCCAACCCCAGTCTGCACGCCGAATGACTCGTGCTTGTGGGAATTGCCCCAGCTCCACTCGCCGGCCGTCATCGCTCAGCCGCCACGAGTAGGTTAAGCCATTTGGGTGACCACAAACGTGTCCCGACATGTCAAAACGGAAGGACGTTGAGGCTCGCGCTTGAGGATGAAGTCGGAAAGTGAAATCCCACACCAAAGTAGTAAGCTCTTGCATGGTGAGGCAGTTTCTCGAACCGTCCTCCAGATGTTTTTTGTACTGTTCCTTCCAGCTGTGCCCTTTGGACTGAAGCTTCATGAGGCGGGCAGGCGTCAGATGGAAACAGCCGGCTTTGGTAGACCACAGGCGCCTGCAAAGCTCAAGCCATAGCATGTCATGGCAGGCCAACGCATTCCAGGAGATTGACACAGCTGCGTTGGCGCAAAGGTCTCTCACATCAAGGCAAGACAAGGCATGGAGAAAATCATCGGTAAGAGGAATCGCTGCATGGGACATTGCAAAGAAGAACTAACTCTGCCTTGAGCCTGGCATGCTACAGCCTGCGGCCCTGCAAATCCAGCTCGCCAACAACAGCTGAGACACAGACTGGCTTCGCATCGACCCTTTCGAAATAGGCAGGTGCTATAGGAATCGGTGCAATGTCCACCTTGTCGAGGCAAGCAGCAAGGCACGTCTGGCTGATATCGCACAGAGCAACCAAACAGGTAAGCCCATTCTGCGGCTGCGGCATCTTGTGGAGAGTCAGCACACAACGGGCTGTTGTCTCTTTCCTGCGACTAAAACCATGAAGGAAACATCGCCAGAATCCCAAGGCATGCAGCAGGGCAATCTCACAGTCACAGCGAGCTTCTACCGGTTTTCCGTTCGTACTGGGACACTGGAATCAGAATTAGAATCTCTTCGGAGGTGGCATAAGTCTCTGTTGGACGGGATCCCAAAGCCCGGCCTGAGACGGACCTTCAGCCGTGTCCTTAGCAAGCCATAGCTCCCAGACTCAATTCTGCATAGCTTCTGTTACATGATTGTTGAAACTATACATACCATGGTCATCGCAGCCGTCACACGACTGACGAGGCCCCAGCTAATGAATCCCAGTCCTGAAGGAAGTCAAGCAAACGGAAGTCGTCGGCACAATATACTTTTGACTTTCGCACCGTCGCTGAACTGTGAAGTGTCCTCGTCGTCGGGGTCGAGGCTTGAACAGCTTGGAAGCTCGTCGTCAACGAGTCCGAAATGCCTGGTTGACGCAAAGAGGCACAGCAAACCAGGGATTGTCTCATGCAAGGCTGAGCTCAAGGCACAGGAAGTACTGGAGGCATTAGGGGCTGCCCCAAGCCCTCTACCCCAATAAGGATTGAGCCACATGCTGTACGAAAACATGATGAAAGCATATCAAACAACTGAGACACTAGACCGGAAAGCATCTCAAACATCTGGCAAAATCCCAAGGAGCAACAAGCTAGACCCTCTACAGCCTCTGTCGTCGGTTCCTGCAGATTGTGACTTCTCCAAGCAATGCTCACAGGGCTTGGGCCTCAGCTGTGGTCTGCCCCACGCCTGGTATCACGGACACCGAGACAACCAAAACTCAGACAGAAACAGAAAAAAGAACAAGGCGAGAGTCAGAGCCACAGTAGACTGGGATACACAGACAAATTCCACACAGCACCGGGCACCCGGCTCGTGCTCTGGGGAGTCAAGAGACTGCCCGAGAGCGGCTCTGATGGCACTGCAGGCAAGTAGCCTCTGGACATCTTTCAGTCGGAAGATGAAGACTGTCGAAGCAATGAATTTCTCAAACGCCAAACAACAGGCATAACATCTGTAGACTTGCTCTCTTCTCGCGGCCTGGATATCGTCTGGGGTATTCGAAACCTCCCAAAAAGTTGAATCCATGCATCGTGCAATCCAAGCGCAGTTGCGAATCCCTGGTACACTCGAAGAGACGTCGAAGCGGTAACGTGCAGGCAATATTCTTCCGACGGGCCCCCTTGTGCCGGTCACTCTGTTCTGCTGAAAAAACACAACCTGCCTTGCAGCGCGCCCTTGTTGAGCTTCTCTGCCTGCACAAAGGATCACGCAGCTACTCAGGACAGGGTTTGCTTACTGGCCTGGACTGTGCATGTATGAACATGCAACCGATTGAAGCAAAGAAGCATCGCCCACAAAAAGTCACTCAAGTTGCAGCTGAGTGACGGGTTCACCCATCCTGGCACCAAGCCTGCCACAAGACTGCAGCAGGCGCCGACATTTTTCACGGTTCAAAGGATCGAAACTAAGTAAGACTCTCGCAAGCAAACGGAAACAAGCATGGTGACCTTGCTGCAATTTCTGCAGCTTGCGCCGCCGCAAGGGCCTCTTCGCGAACAAGTTTTGTTGATCATCTAGGCAGAGATGATGCTAGACTGTTAGAGGCAGTCGCACGCAAGATGGCAACGCTAAGGAAACACTGGGCCACCGCACTGCAGCAGGTGCTCCACCAGCATTTCCTCAGAGCTTCCACAGATCTTCATCATTACGTTCCCAATACAATGCTCTTGCAACACTTAGTTCCTCAACAAATTCTGTCCGGACTGCTGCCACGGACAATCAGTTTGAGCACATAAGATCCGTACTGACAGCAAAAGTCGCCATAGCACCAGTCTAACCATGAGGCTCCATGTTGCGAAAGAACATGCAACTCGTTTGATTTCTTCAAATCGGTCCAACTGTATCATAACACGACCGGAGATAGAATAGCATCAAACCCCAGGCAACGTATACCACATAGTCAATGACGTACTAGCAGAAACCAAAAGATATTCATGCAACGATGAACATGCTGGAAGCCTTGGCTGCAGCACCAAATGCGGTGACACCGGGTTTTCCGTTGCATTTCCGACATGACGGTAGCCTCACAGGAGGGCGCCTGCAGACAACAAGTGCGGAGCTTTGCGTATGAGCCCAGCCCAGCCCAGCCCAGCCCAGCCCAGCCCAGCCCAGCCCAGCCCAGGCCCAGGCCCAGGCCCAGGCCAGGCCCAGGCCCAGGCCCAGGCCCAGGCCCAGGCCCAGGCCCAGGCCCAGGCCCAGGCCCAGGCCCAGGCCCAGGGCCAGGGCCAGGAAGAAAAACGCAGACGCACAACCCTCATTTCTTGAGCCAAGATTTCGCACGAACATGTGATCTCAAGTGAAACTGCAGACTGCACTCTACGAGTAGAAAACAATAAAGAGAAACATAAATACTGGTGGGCATATGGGGGTG